AAGGCAGGAGGATATCTTGAGGCCAGGAGTTCAAGACCAGCCTAGGCAACATGGTGAGACCCTGTTTTTACAAAAAAAAATATTTAAAAAGTAGCCCTGCCTATGGTGCCAATTACTTGGGAGGTTGAGGTGGGAAGATCTCTTAAGCCCAGAGTTCAAGGCTGCAATGAGCCATGACTGCAACACTGCACTCCAGCCTGGGTGATAGAGCAAGACCCTGTCTCAAAAAAAAAAAAAAAAAAAAAAAAAAAAAAATCCATACTACCCAAAGTGGATCTACAGATTCAATGCAATCCCTATAAAAGGTATTTTTTACAGAAATAGAAAAGTAAAACCATCTTAAAATTCATGTAGGATTTCAAGGAACCCTGAATAGCCAAAATAATCTTAAAAAAGAAAAAAGTTAGAGGCCTCACATTTCATGATTTTAAAACATATTACAGAGCTACAGTAATCAAAATAGTGTGATATTGGCATGAACACAGGTATACACTCATACACTAATGAAATGGAATAGCCCCAAAATAAACCCTCACATATATAGTCAAATGATGAGTACCAAAACCACTCAATGGGGAAAGACCCTCAGGTGATCCACCCACCTAGGCCTCCCAAAGTGCTGGGATTACGGGCATGAGCCACCACACCTGACCCTGTCTCTATTTTTAAAATAATAAAAATTAAAAGTGAGCAAGGACTTGATTAGACATTTTTCCAAAGAAGATATATAAATGGCCAAAAAGTATATGAAAAGATGCTCAACATCACTAATCATTAGAGAAATATGAATCAAAACCTCAAGAAAGCATGTTACCCCCATTAGGAAGGCTGCTATAAAAACACCCCAGAAAATAACAAGTGTTAGCAAGATGTGAAGAAATGGGGATTCTTGCACTGTTGGTGGGAATATAAAATGGTACAGCTGGCCAGGCACAATGGCTCATGCCTGTAATCCCAGCACTTTGGGAGGCCGAGGCAGATGGATCACTTGAGTCCAGGAGTTTGAGACCAGCCTGTGCAACATGATGAAACTCCTCTCTACTAAAAATACAAAAAAGTTTGCTGGGCCTAGTGGCCTGCCTCTGTTGTCCCAGCTACTCGGGAGACTAGGATGGGAGGGAGGATCACCTGAGCCCGGGAGTTCAAGGCTGTGGTGAGCTGAGATCACACCACTGCATTTTAGCTGGGGTAATCGGAGACAGACTCTATCTCAAAAAAATAAAAAATACTAAGTTCAGGGGTACAATAAGAAAAATAAAAAATAAAATGGGTACAGCTGCTATGGAAACAGGATGGAGACCCCTCAAAGCATTAAAAATAGAACACCTGTTAGTCCAGCAGTTCTGCTTGAACCGCTGACACCTCCTCACATAGGACCTGAAATGTGTTGCCAGTGGAGATTTGCATGTCTGAAAACCTGGACCTACTCCCATCCCTAAGCACAGCCCTGCCTTCAGTGATTTCCTGTCATCCCTCGCTTATGAAGCTGCAGCCTTGAATTATACTTGTAAGAAGTGTTTATTTTTCTACTTTTGCACAGTATGTGCAAATAAACAGTAAGGGACTGGGGGGGAAGCAGAGAGAACAATTCCCCCCACTGCCAAAACAGCAAGCAGACTGGAATAAACATTTAGGCTCTGACAAACTCTAAAGGACGAATCACGCCGTTTCCTCAACAAACATGTCTCAAGGAAAAAGTTAGATGTGTTGCTAATACTGTCTCACCCTGTTCAGGCTGTAAAATACCATGGACTGGGTAGCTTTTATACAACAAAAAAAATTATTTCTCATGGTTCTGGAGGCTGAGAAGCCCACGATTCAGGCTCTGGCAGATTCAGTGTCTGGCAAGGGTCCAATTCCTGGTTCACCGACGGTCATATTCTCGCCAGGTCTTCCTGTGCTGGGAGAACTCCATTCTCTTCAGCCTCTTGTAAGGGAACCTACCCATCCTATTCGTGAAGGCCCCACCCACATGACCTAATCACCTCCCAAAGTGCCCTCCTAATACCAGCACACTGGGGATTAGGTTTCAACATACCGATTTGGGGGCAGAGGGTGGAGGACATATGGAGTCCATAGCCAGTATCATGTTTTAAAAGCCCTTGTCTTTTAGAAACACACACTGAAAAATTCACAAATGAAATAAATGTCTAGAATTCGCTTCAAAGGAGTTCGGGAGCAGGGAAGTGGATGGCCAGGGTAGAGACAAAACCAGACTGGCCACAAGTTGGTGACTGTCCAATTGCTGAAGCTGGGATTCATTATTCTAGTTTCATTTTGTTTGTTTGTTTGTTTGTTTTTGTTTTTGTTTTGAGACAGGGTCTCACTCTGCTGCCCAGGCTGGAGTGTAGTGGCACTATCACAGCTCAGTGAAGCCTGGAACTTCTGGACTCAAGTGATCCTCCCACCTCAGACTCTCAAGTAGCTGGGGACCAAAGGCAGGTGCCACCATGCCCAGCTAATTTTATTTTTTTTTTGAAATGGGGTCTCACCATGTTGTCCAGGTTAGGTTTCATGTCTTTTGTAAACAAAAAGGTTTTAAAAAGAGGCAAATTGGGAGGAAAGTGGTTTAAGTGAGATAAGAGTTTTTCATATAACAGACCTAGAGGCAGGCACAGGCCACAGGGGAAGCTTCCAGAGCATCAGGGCCAGCTGCTGTAGCCGCTGCCTACCCTTTCCCCACTTGGCCCCCTCAGCTTCATAGAACTCCTCCATCTCCAGCCATCACAGTCCGCTCCAGCCAGGAAGAAGGGCGGGTTAGGAAGGGCAAGCTCCCTTCCTTAAAGGCCATGCCCAGACGCCACACAAACCACCTCTCCATCCAGGAACCAGACAGTCATCTGACCACACGTGGCTGCAGGAAAAGGCTAGGGAATGCAGTGTTTAGTACAGGTGGCCACAGATTTGAAAACCAGGGCAGCTACTACCACAGGGGAAGGGATGGAGACTGGGGTATAATTTGGTGTCTACCACAACTCTCATCCCTGAGATTGGTAATCTGGCATCCTTGGTGCCACAGATTGGTCAGCAGAGATGATGCTGTCCAGCTGGTGGGCCCGATGAGGTTTAAATATGCTTGTCATTTACATGCACAAATGAAGCAATCTGCTCCAAAGTCACTGCTCCCCCTTGGACGCGGAGCAAGCGTCTGGCTTCCTTAGCTCTCCCAGGCTAGGTGTGCATCTCCAGGAAGCTGCTACCCACGACAGCCAGGGTGGCAATGCTGTTTCCTATGCTGAAAGCAGTCCAGCACCTGAGCCTGGCTTGACCTGAGATCTGGGTATTTGTTTGGCCAGCGAATGACATGGAGAAACCTGTTCAGTGTTTGCTCTGACAGCTGAGCTACCTGGTGGGAGCCCACACAACAGTGTGGTCAGTGGGTGGGCACAGCGCTGCTGGTGCTGCCTGAACATTTCTGCCATGTATTTTGCTTTTAAGTCAATCCTCATTTAAGGAAAAAAAACACCTTAAGGTTTTTTTTTTTGTTTGTTTTTTGTTTTTTTTTTTCTGAGACAATGTTTCACTCGACACCCAGGCCAGAGTACAATGGCACGATCTCGGCTCACTGTATCCTCCGTCTCCCAGGTTCAAGCGATTCTCCTGCCCCAGCCTCCCGAGTAGCTGGGATTACAGGTGCCCACCACCACACCAGCTTATTTTTGTATTTTTAGTAGAGACAGTGTTTCACCGTGTTGGCCAAGCTGATCAACCTCCTGACCTCAGGTGATCCTCCCACCTCTGCCTCCCAAAGTGCTGGGATTACAAATGTTAGCCAACCCTTAAATGGATTTTTTCCCCCCTTAAATGGATTTTTAAAACAAACCTGGCTGGGTGCAGTGGCTGTTTTACCTGTAATCCCAGCACTCTGGGAAGCCAAGGTGGGTGGGTCATAAGGTGAGGCATTTGAGATCAGCCTGGGCAACATAGTGAAACCCCGTCTCTATTAAAAATACAAAAAAATTAGCTGGGCATGGTGGCAGGTGCCTATAATCCCAGCTACTCAGGAGGCTGAGGCAGGAGAATCGCTTGAACCTGGGTGGAGGTTTCAGTGAGCCGAGATCGCGCCACTGCACTCCAGCCCGAGTGACGACAGTGCAATACTCTGTCTCCAAAAAAAAAAAAAAAAGATAACAACAAACAGATCTATCACTGTTATAAATGGAAAAGTAGTAAGGCCTGCCCTAGATAGAAGGTAACTGAAAACCTGGCTAAGGGCCTGCCACAGGCTGTGTCTGATGCCAGGATTCTCTGTTAAAGAGAAGATACCATTGAACTGACTCCCTCCTTGAGACAGTTCAATGGATGGAAAAAAATTTAAATGGAATTAATTGTTAAATAACATTCTCCAATGTTAGTTAATGCCTCTCAGTCACTACTAACAAGCATTTCTCCTGGAGGATGCGGTCCCCTCCTTGGGAAACATCTGAACTCTGTGCACCTCAATTTCCCCATCTGTCAGACGGGGATCGTAACAGTGCCTATTTTATAGGACGCCTGAGGCTAGAAAGCAAGATCATCCAGACTCTCGGGATACAAAGTGCCCGGTGGGAGGATCACTTGAGTCTAGGAGTTCCAAGATCAGCCTGAGCAATATAGTGAGACTCCACATCTACAAAAAATAAAAAATTAGCCAAGCATAGTGGTGCATGCCTGTAGCTACTCGGGAGGCTGAGGTGGGAGGATCCCTCAAGTCCAAGAGGTCCAAGCTACAGGGAGCCATGATCACACCACTGCATTCCAGAATGGGAAGCAACAGAGCGAGACTCTGTCTAAAAATTAAAAAAAAAAAAAAAAAAAAAATCAAAACTTTACAAAAAAGTTAAAAAACAAAAACTGCCAGGCTTGCCATACAGCACTCAAATGCTGTTTGTCAGTTTTATGAAAGAGAAAATTTGAGTCCTGTCATTAAAAAACTAAATACAGCTTGAGGAAAAATAAACTCCCAAGTAACCAAACTTCAAAGCAGTGGGGACAGGGGACATAAAACCCCAAACACTTCATTTAACAATGGAAGACACTTTATTATTATTTTTATCATCTCTCAACATTTCAACTCTTGGTAGAAGTCAAATGCAAAACATCTGCATTTTTAAATTAGCATGTATTTAACTATCTCAATCACGGCAACCTCATAGAGTAAGATCCACAGCAGGGAGCAGGGTTTAGTATTTCCTATTCCAGTCTGTGACCACAGTACTCCGTGATGGTAGATACACCGGACTCTCCCTCCTAGGATGCGTTAGTCATTCCTGCTTTTGTCCGCTGGGTAAGTTACGTGGCATCACGGTTGGATAAAAGAGTTAGTGACTGTAATGCTGGCGCAATCTGGAAATGGAAAACTAGAAAACTAGAGCTCTCAGGAGTGGGCCAGGCATTGCCGATTCTGAAATGTGAAAAGGAAGAACGTCGAAGATGAATGCCCCTGATAGGCTGGTCTTAGTAATAAAGTTGGTTGAAATTCAGCTTAATATACACACTGTATATCTACATATGATCTACCGGATATATATATATGTGTATGTGTGTGTATATATATATATATATATTAAAAAAGAGCCATATAAGATTTGGAAAACCTTAAAATCACTCAACTGAGTTGGAAGAACATCAGCAAATTCACAGTGGCCTCAGGATTCAGCCAGACTTAAACTTGCTCAAGAGCTGAATACCTTTCTCCCAGAAAGACCCACTGCCTAAGAACCCCTTAGCATTGTGTACATCACAAACAGTTATGGCTAAAATATGTTATTAGTTCACAAGGAGGCGGCTTTGTTTTCAAACTCTTGCCCCACTCCTGCTCTTGTACCCCCACAAGGAAAATCCGGGGGTCGGTAATTCACATGAGGAGCTGAAGGGGCCTTCAGGCTTGGAACCGCTTGGGCTTAGCTGAACATCTGAGGAGCCATCTGTCTGATGCACAGGTGCCGACTCCCGCCCACTTGTAGTGCAAAAAGATCGCCAGTGTTGCAGACGAGTCCTGGAAACCGGTGGAGAGGACTGAGATGGAGGGGCAGTAGAAATCCCAAATGACTTTCCTTCTGAAACGAGACTCAAGAAGTGTGAAGTGCAAGGTTCCTGCTCAGCAAGCTACAGGTCCGACAGGTGAGGTCCCTGAATTGTCACTAGGTCAGCAGTCTGCAGGCACACAGACCTCGATACCCGCGCTCACCCCCTAAGTGCACACTGGAGGTAGGTGTATAGCTAGTTACTGCAGGGAAGACAGTGGCTCTCCACCAGCTCAGGAAAAAGGGGCTTCGTGTCTGTTCCTCCCTGCCTCAAACTCAACTCTCCCCTTGGGCTGTAGTGAGTGGAAGATACAACACGAACGGGCGCCAAGCCCTCCCTTGGAAGACTAAAGAACCCAGGGCATTTAATAAATAGCTACATAATTCATTTTTTTTAACCACGTTGAAACACATAGCAAGTTGAATATTTATTTAAAAATAAATCTCAAAAATATCTATTGACAGTACAGTAACAGGGACATGTGCAAACAACAGAAAGGGAGTCAGTTCTGCTGGGGGAGCCCACACTTCACTGTGCTGGGACAAAGTTCACGAACGCCAGGGGCTGACTGCGCTGTGGTTACAAAAGGACATTCAGCAAACACTGGACTCGGTTCACCTTTGGCACCTGGAGAGGTGGCAAAGCCAGCGGGTGGGGAGTCCAGCTGGGGATCCTTGTGTTTGGGAAGGGGGCGGCCAAGGGATGAGCCTTTGGGAGAGGCCCCGTGTGGCAGGAGGGCTCATTTCACAAGCCAACAGGCCTCTAGCTCGCCGCTCCAGGTGGATGCTTGGTGACCTGAAGGGCCCTTCCCAGTCCAAGTTGGCTTTGCAATGGGAGGGGTAGGTGTGGTGAGGGTCCCAGAGATAGAAATCCCCTTGAAAGGAAAAAACGAAACAACAAAACCAAACCAAAAAAAAAACAGAACCAACTGAACAGGGAGTGGAGAGATTAGCAAAATGAATCTGAACGGAAGTGCCACCTTCTCCCTTGTCAGACAACAAAGCAGCCATTGGTTGAAACATCGGAGTTGCTAAGTGAACTCCTACGTGGACACAGCCAGCCCACGATCTCTGCCACCTACATGGTCAAGTGCAGGCCCCCGCCTCTGAGATCAATGCGGGAATACTTCTTCACCGGGAAACCCGAAAGGTGGGTGGTGTAGCCCTTGGAGCGGGAAGGGGTGAGGCCGAGTCTATCTGTACACGAGGTGGGAGAACTGGGTGGACTTGTAGTTCAGCTGGTTGTTGGGCATGAACTTGTGCAGCTCACTCTTTTTGTAGCAGGGGTCGTAATGGTAAGCACTGAGGCAGGCGTCGCAGGAGACTTTTGAACACTGGGTGCAGGTGTTGGTGGCGCCTGGGCGGTTGCAGAAGCCACAGCGGGAAGTGGCCGTAGTGGAGGGCTTGGGTTTGGAGTGAAGGTGTGGGAGGCGGTCAAGGCCCTGAGTCTGGCCTGGGTACTTCTCCCGCAGAGAGGCCCCGTGGGCCAGGCTGTCGTGGGCAGAGGCCTTGCTGGGGAAGGCGCCGGGCTTGGAAGCTGGAGGACAGGTGAGCAGGCTGTCACAGCGCTGGCAGAGGGAGGAGCTGCAGGACAGCCCGCAGCTTTGGCACTTGGAGAGGGAGGACTCTTTGGCAGGGGGCGAGCGCTTGTGGTAGAGGGGGTGGGCGTCGTTTCTGAGCACCCACACGTCCGGCCGCAGAGCGTCCTGCCGACGGTAGGTGGCCCTGGGTTCGGAGTCTGTGTACAGATCCACGTCATCCTGAGAGGAGAAGTAGGTACTGCGCAGCAGGGCCGGGCCGTTGCTGGGGGAGGCGGGTGGAAGGGCATCCGGGCTGCTGTGGGGAGAGGCGGCCATGGTCAACAGCGAGGGGGACGGGCGGATGATCTCGTCCTTGAGGTCGTCGCCCACGTCCACTGCCACGGGCTCCTTCCGAAGGCTCAATGAGGCCTTCAGGGGCGGCTTCCGGCTCTCCCAGTAGCTGTCGTAGGCATCCACCGACCTCGAGGGCTTGGTCACACGGGGCTTGTAGTAGTCCTTGGCTGCCCGCTCGCTGGCTGACTTCTGGAGCGCCACCCGCGCCATGGAGGCCGTCAGGTGCTCCCGGCCCTCCGCCCGCCGCCGCAGGGCATCCAGGCAGCCGGGCACGTCCTCCGTGCTGCTCTTGCGCTCGCTCACAATGTCCAGCTCGGAGTAGCCCTTGTCCTTCACTTGTGAGTGGATTTCCAGCATCTGCTCACACTCAACTTTGGCCAGAAAGAGCTCAAAGGAGACCATCTTTACCTGGAGGGTCTCCACGAGCTCTCTGAGCTTGTATGCGGTGCCCAGCTCAGGTGCATAGCCCATGCAGCTCAGGATGGCTCGGATGTCCTCTTCCAGTAATGTCGACTTGACGTAATAAACAAAAGGGCCCGTGTAGGTCTAGAAGGAAAGGAGTAGAAAAGAGAGGTGGGCTTTTCTCCTGGAGACACAAGACAGAGACTATGTCAAAGCAAAGGACGTCCAGCTCTGAAGTGGCACGGTGGGGAGAGGGCAGGGCAGGGCAGGGAAGGGTCTGGACAGCTTCGCCCTGCAGGAGAAAGGGGAGGCAGGGGCTGGGGCTTGCTAAGCACTCGGGAGTGGTGCATGAAAATGACCCAGCGGCTCCTCTCTTAAACACAGGGGAGCAAAAACCTCTCTCCTCCTAGTGGGGCGCGAAGGCTCTGCTCCAGATGAAGAGGAAGCCAGGGCATATGGCTGAATAAAGGGGCGGGGTTATAGGCAGAGTGCGGTGACAATCAGGACATTCCTCTCTGGCACTTCCATAAGGCTCTGAATAACACGGCAGAGTGAAGAGCCTGGCTAGGTGACAGCTCTCCTGTGCCATCCCTGTGTAGTCCGAGTCAGGATCCCCTCTCTCAATTCCCCCTCCTCCCGTCCTGTTACCACTTAGTCCAGAGCACCCCACAGCTTGCTGGGACCGCTGAGAAGCTTCCTAACTGCTCTCCCCACCCCTCCCACCTCACCCTCCACCCCTCTGAGTCTCCTTCCCATGCCACAGCCAGAATGACCCTCTTCAGAGGCAAGACAGATCCCGCACTGCCTCCTTCCCAGCCTACTCAGAAGAAATCCAAGTCTTGCCCTGGGCTACAAGATCCTGCATAACCTGGCTGCCCCTGCCTTCCCAAGCTGTCTGCTTAAGGTGTGGCAGCCAGAGCCAGAGCTGGTTCAGAGGTGATGCTGGAGGGACAGGGAAGGTGCAGCGCCCAGGAAAGGTGCAGCCCCTCTCAGGAGCAACTGCCAGGGGCAGGAGGAGAGGATAACGGCCTGTAGGGAGGCTGCTTCGGGACCTCACCTTGATGCTTCTGAATTCCTTCTTCCATGGGTAGAGGAAGAGGTTGATGCCCATCGTCTCCAGCATGCTGAAGGCGCCGTGCAGAGCCCGCAGGCTGGAGGAGCTGAGTGAGCGCAGGGAGCTCTCCACCACCTCGTAGAACTGGATCAGCCGGAATCGATAAAAGGGTTCCACCTTGGACAGGCTGAGCAGGGACGAGGCTGCCACCCGCAGGTACTCATCGCTGCCAGGCCACTGCTTGCTGGGGGTGGTATCCACTTTGCCCTCATGGAACTGCACGTACTTCCGAAATAAGTCATCCTTGTATTTTGTATCCATTGAACTGGGCTTCCCCATCCGATCGAGGGCGGGGCTACCTTATCTCCTCCATGGCTCCCGGATTAGAGGCAGGGACATCACTAAAAGCACGGACATGTTGCTGCGTGGACCAGCGGAGTGCTCTGGAAGGAGATGAACAAGAAGCATGTCATTCCTCGAAATGGGCTGTGCTTCGGCTCCTGGCCGCTGAGGCAAAACGAACAGAACTGGCCTGGGCTACACTGGACCCCAGCGGCGCTCGCTGGTTCAACACGTTACAGAGCATGTGCTACAAGCAGGGTGACAGCAGAGGCCAGAGAGACGGACCTCGACTTTGCTGTGCTTGCAAATGAAAAATACAGTTAATATTCCTGAAAGAGAAGTTTGGGTGAGTACAGGAGGGGCTCCTGTCCTGGTTTTGTTGGGGAAGGGGGAGTTTAGGAACGTCCTTTGAGACAGCAGCAGACCTGAAGGATGAGGAGTTTGCCAGACCAAGAGGCCGGGGAAGGAGCCGCAGCAGAGGAAGGCCCTGAGCTAGCACTCCCAGACGCTCCAGATTCCTGATGAACTTCACACACACTCATTCACTCGCCGTTTTTTTTTGTTTGTTTTTTTTTTTTTTTGAGATGCAGCCTTGCCCTGCTGCCCAGGCTGGAGTGCAGTGGTGCAATCTCAGCTCACTGCAACATCCACCTCCTGGGTTCAAGTGATTCTCCTGCCCCAGCCTCCCAAGTAGCTGGGACTACAGGTGTCCGCCACGACACCTAGGCAATTTTTGTATTTTTTAGTCAAGACGGGGTTTCACCATGTTGGCCAGGCTGGTCTCGAACTCCTGACCTGAAGTGATCCACTGGACTTCGCCTTCTAAAGTACTAGGATTCCAGGCGTGAGCCCCCACACCCAGCCTCACTTCCTCTTCTTAATCCTGGGAGAGAGCCCCAGTGGACCCATGTGCAAACTGAGACACAACCATTAGAAACTGCTCAAGATAGGCCGGGCACAGTGGCTCGCACCTGTAATTCCTGAACTTTGGGGGGCTGAGGCGAGAGGGTGGCTTCAGTCCAGGAGCTCAAGCCCAGCCTGGGAAACATGGTGAAACCACGTCTCTACAAAAATACAAAAAACTTTTTTAAGAAAAAGAAAGAAACTGCCCAAGGTTAGAGAACTCTTACGAGGCAGAAGAGCTGAGCTCAGAACCCAGGCAGTCTGGCTCCAAAGTCCATACCCTTACCCACCATACCCTGCTTTCCTGCGGCAGGAAGCTTGGCACAGGAGCAGCCGCAGCCAGTGAGGCCGAGGCCGCGAGGGCAGGGGCGTGAGGAGAGACAGCTGCCAGCATCAGCAGGACCCTCAGCCCCAAGGCTGCAAAGGCTGCAAGAGCACACTCAGAATTTGCTATTTTATACAAAGAGCTGCGTGAAGCCACTGAAGCGTCTGCAGCAAGGGGAGAGGGATGCAGCCTTCTTTACAGTTTTAAAAAGAGGCCACTGTGGCTGCCGGCCCCTGGAGTGCTGCTACCGGCCTTTGACAGCCTGCATCCCCTTCATCACAAGAGCGCTCTGCAGCCCCCTGTTGGGAGAGGATAGAACGTTCTGAGCTGGAACACAGGCTTTATACAACCTTGTCATCTGCTTAGCCACTTGTGAGTAGAACAGGCACAGATCCAGCAATATTCTTGTGGCCACAATGCTGGAAGTGAATCCGGATTCATGGAGGGACGCTGCCAGGGCCAGGGGAGACAACACGTGCAGGGCCACGGACACGGGGTCCAAGGCCAGGCGCCTGCGAGCGAGGCCAGGGCCACTTCTCCAGGTGACTTGGCAAACTGCTCCACCTCCCTGGGTGTCGCTTTTCTCATCTAGAAAAGGGGGCTAATAATAGCGCCTCTGTCCAGAGCTGGTGAGCAGATTATGTACGACTGGGATATGAAGCTGCTCAGAAAGCCGCTCCGGGAAGCCCTCCAGAGCTGTGGCTGTTGTCGGAAGGTGCTGTGCCCCTAAGCAGCCAGGCCTTCTCTGAGCGGAGCCAGTAACTCTGACTGGGTGGCAGAGGTGCATTTTCACATGCTCGGGTCCTGCCTCCTACCCAGAAGCCCCGCGGGTGCAGGACTGTGCCCATCTTGCTCACTAAGGTGACCTGTGTGCTTCATACATGTCTGCTGACTGTGGGAGACAGCAAGGGGCTGAGACGGAAGCTGCAGCAGGCCTGGGACTGGCGTGTGGAGTCCTTTAGAGACCTGTTTTCGGCTCAAAGGTCCTATGAGCCCCGCAACTATCATGAGGTCAACAAAACCATCCTCATCTCAATGAGCCAGTAGTCTGGCTCCTCCACGGTTTCTGTCCCCAGGAGGAGACGCACAGGGGTATTACTGCTGCTGTGAGAGGTAGGATGTGTATTAAAACTAGGGACACAGGGAAGCCACTGTCTCCAACACTGCGCTGCCAAGGGAGCCCAGTGCTACAGCGACGAGCAAGCCTGAGGAGCTCAGGGGGGCAAACACATCCACTTAAGGGCCAGGTGCAGGGGCTCATGCCTGTCATTCCTGAACTTTGGACCCGGGCAAGGCAGGAGGACTGCTCGAGGCCAGGAGTTTGAGACCAGCCTGGGCAACATAGCAATACCCTGTCTTTATAAAAGAAAACAAAACGCACTTAGGATAAAATTCTGCCTCATGAAAATTCTCATCACTCAGGCCTTAGCCCAAACATCAGCCCCCTGAGGTACCGCCCCATCTCACCTTCGCCTAAGATAACCACAGTCTGAAACTGTCAACTTTATTCATTTACTAGCTTCCGCTCTTTGTCCCCCCACCCTCCCTGGTAAGCTCCATAAAGGCAAGGACCATGTCTGTGTTGTTCACCACGATGCCTAACACAGAGCCAGCCACACGGCCGGTGCTTGATCAAGTAGTGCTGCAAAGGATGTTGGCATTCGTGATGCTCCCACCTAGTTTCTCATTGGTACCTCCCAAGAATCCTGGGAGATCAGCTAGAGAGCAAAGAAACAGGCTCAGAAAGATGGCATGAGGTACAAGTAGCTCCAGGTTAGAGAAGATGGACCCAATCATCCAAGCCTGGCCTTCTGACTGGGAACCTGCGTTCCTCTCACCACCCCACAATTCCTACGTCCAACAAGCATTTCTGCAGCACCCACCTTCTGCCTGAGCTGGACCCAGTGGGGGAATAGGGATGGCAGGATAGAGGACAGCCGTGAAGGAGACACATCCTGCCTGCAAGTCCAGCTGGAAGAGCATACCACCTCGTATCAAAGTACGGATGTGCTCTAGGCTCATATTGTTTTGTCCATACAAAATAAACAATTTAAAATGTATATTCTCTTAAAAAAATAAAAATGTAGGCCAGGCACAGTGGCTCACACCTGTAATCCTAGCACTCTGGGAGGTCAAGGCAGATGGATCACCTGAGGTTGGGAGTTTAAGACAAGCCTGGCCCACATAGTGAAACCCTGTCTCTACTAAAGATACAAAATCAGCCAGGCATGGTGGTACATGCCTGTAATCCCAGCTACTCAGGAGGCTGGGGCAGGAGAATTGCTTGAAACCAGGAGGCGGAAGTTGCAGTGAGCCGAGATCGTGCCACTGCACTCCAGCCTGGGCAATAGAGTAGAAACTCCATCTCAAAATAAATAAAAATTTTAAAAAAGTGTACTGCAACACTGGAGAGGATACTCGCACATGCGCTTACCATTCGTTTATCTAAGAGATGCTGCCGTCACGCCTGTAGTCTGAGAACCATTCAGACACAGGGACATTAAGCTTCCAAACACTGCTGTAATTTTTCTCCAAGGAAGTCAGCTTTAAACTCAAAGAGACTGATTTTTAGCCGGGCACGGTGGCTCAAGCCTGTAATCCCAGCACTTTGGGAGGCTGAGGCGGGTGGATCATGAGGTCAAGAGATCGAGACCATCCTGGTCAACATGGTGAAACCCCGTCTCTACTAAAAATACAAAAAATTAGCTGGGCATGGTGGCTCGTGCCTGTAATCCCAGCTACTCAGGAGGCTGAGGCAGGAGAATTGCCTGAACCCAGGAGGCAGAGGTTGCGGTGAGCCGAGATCGCGCCATCGCACTCCAGCCTGGGTAACAAGAGCGAAACTCCATCTCAAAAAAAAAAAAAAAAAAAAGAGACTGGTTTTTTACAAAGTCAGCCAGTCTCAAGCGCAGCGCAGCGTCTGCTCCTCTATAATTGCACCACAGTCTACACCCTTGTTTGTTGCTGAAAAAACAATAAATAAGAGAAAATGATCCAAACAGCCCTTGTTCAAAATCCTAACAACAAGGACGGGAAGCCTATCTAAAAAGAGTCTCAAACCAATCTGGGTAGGTGAGAGAAAAGGCGGAAGAAAGTAAAAGCTAAAAGATAATTAAGGGCAAGACAAGCCTGGACAACACAGCTAGACTCCATCTCTACAAAAAACCTTTTTTTTAGTTAGGTGGGTGTGGTGACATGCACCTGTAGGCTTAGCTACTTGGCAGACTGAGGTGGGGGGATCCATTGAGCCCAGGAGTCTGAGGCTGCAGTGAGCTATGACGGTGCCACTGTACTCCAAGCTGGGTGACAGAGCGAGGCCCTGTCTCAGTCAGTCAGTCAGTCAATAAGGAAAGGAAAGAAGGAGACTGACAATGACTGAGGTCCTACTATGTGCTAAGCATTGGGCTTTCCACTTTACCTACATCATCCCGTTTAATTCTCACAACTCTATAAGGAAAACAAGGCTTGCCCTATTAAAGCAACCTGCCCAACAGAGTTAGAAAGGGTCGGAGCTGGTACCTGAACTCTTGCTGGCAGGCCCTGGGCCTTCTCCAATTTACCTCACTTATTTATTGTTACATCAGTACCATTTACTAAGGAATTACCGTAGGGCTCTCTGCTAACTGCTCTGTGAAAATCAATGAAATCCACAGGATAGTCTCAAGGTTAAAGAGGAAACTGAGGCTCGGAAAGGCCAACTCATTTACCCTAAGTCGTAAGGCCAGGAAGCAGCAGATCTGGGTTCTAGACCTAGGTCTGATGCCAAAACTCCGACTCGAGCGAAGCTCTCCTGCTACATCTGCTGGACAGCTCTACTCCCAAGTGTTTGGCTGAGTTAGAACGCCTTATGGTGGTGCGAACAGAGTTGAGTTACAGAAATTCCTGTAGTAGCAAAATTCCCATCTTCCCACACCGAATGGGGCTAGGAGAGCCAATCTCTGTATGATGTAAGCTCAAGGGCCAGGCAGAGAGGCTGGCCAGAGACATCGGCCAGTGGTGAAGCAGCTGACATCATCCCTGCTGAAAACATTTTCTGAGAATACAAGATGCCTTGTCGCTGGTCATAGCTGGTGTTTTTTCTGAGCAGAGCAGAGCCAGCAATTTATTCCCAGCACTCTGCAAGAACAACAAAATACGCTCTTTGCAAAAACACTGTGGTTACAGGAAAGCAAGACAACCCAGCGACAGAAGCTGTTAATTTCTCCGAGCAACCCAAGGATTGGAACGCCAAGCTGTGCCAGTCTGGTGTGGGGGGGGGGGGACAAAACCCCCAGCACTGTGAATATCTTGAACACAGAGGCGAGTCAACGGCTCCAGTCAGCATCTTCTGCACCTACAATCTAGGCGCCCTCTTGAGAAGCAAGTCAATGGAAAGACAGATACTGCACAGTCAGGGAGGCAGTGGCTGCTTTAGTTATTATTTCTTAAACATCTAAGAGGAAATCCGTATCTCTTTAGAGTCCCAATGCATAGAAGTGAAATGATTCCAAGTAGCAAAGCATTTATTAGCTTGGCTTTACCTCAGCTGGCCCATTCAAGCAGAAATGTTCCCCAAGCAGCATTTGAAGGCGCCCCCTCTCTGCACAGGCAGAGCTATTTTGGTCTGTGCACTGGCACTGTCCACAGGTTTACACATCCCTGGTCTAGCTCCATCAGCCTCCAAAGAGGAGATGGGGAAGTCAGTTCAACCCCCTCCACCTCCCCACCCACTCCAATGCACTCGTTCCAAGCAAGAGGCTCCGAGACACATCCACGGCACCTTCCACTGGCTGTGAAACACCAGAAGGTCCCCACACTCCTACTAGATTCCAAAGAAATTCACACAGGGGCCTTCCAAACCTCTGAAAATAACCTCAGCGGCGCTGAAAGAAGCTTCTCTAGTGGCAGCTGCCTCTCTCGGAGAAGCTCTGAAGGAAGCTGTTTCCCTCCCTGCAGGGACAGAAACTGCCGGTTGCTGAGTCCCAGCTGGGTCATTCCCACCGCCTCCGGGGGCCACGTCATTTGTGAAAAACACCCCAGTCTCAAATTCTGGCCTTCCCCATGCGTTCGTGAATTGAATGAAGTAACAGGAACTACCATTTATTAGACGCCTGCTGTATGCCAGAGACCCTGAATGATCTCATTCCATCTCCACTCCAGCCCTAGCAACCAGGTCCAATCACACTTAAATAGGCAACTGAGGCTCTTAAGATGAAGTGACTTATCCAAGGTCACACAGTGAGTGCAAACCCAGGTGTGCCGCCAGAGCCTGAACCGGGAACCCCTGCGCGGTAACCTCCTGGTGGTGAAATCGGGGTGTCCTCCTGTTTGCCCAGTCGCCGAAGAGGGGGTGTTCCTCCTGAGCAACCCTGAGCCACCCTCGGCGGGTCCCAGGAGCTTGCGAGGCAGCTCTCGGGAGAAGGGGGATCCTGAGGATAGGCTGGGGGTCCCGGGAGTGCCGACACAGAGGGCCCGCCTGTCGCCCTGCCCGCCGCGAGGGGACCCCGCTCCCGGGCCAGCCGAGCCCTGCAGTTATCCGGCACCCCCTCCGCCTGGGGAAGCCCCGGAGGCAGTTTCCGCCCGCGGCCCGCCGGTCACTCACCCTGACACTGCAGCCGAGGACGACCCGGCCGAGGGAAGCAAGCGGGAGGCGCGGCTGCCGCCGGAGCCGGGCCCCGCTGGGCGCTCGCCGCTCCGGCTGGCTGCCGGGGAACCGAGACCAGTACCCGGGGGCCAGCAGCGACCCGGAAGCACTCGGCCCGGAAGTGATGTCGCCAGGAGGCTGGCCCGAAGGGAGGGTGGACCGAGGCTGCGCGCTGGCTCCGGGAAGTCGTAGATGCCCGCGGCCGGCGGAGACCGTAAGCCAGAGGCCGAGGACAAAGCGGAAGGCCGAAGAGCGAGGACGAAAGCCACGGAACCGCGCTTTGGAGCCTAACCAGCCATCGCCGCGTCTGAGGCTGGGACCCAGAAGTAAACAGACCGGACGTGACGCAAGCCACTTGGGCTCTGGATGGTGGCTGGCCGGGTTGTCATGGAAACCGCTCCGGAGCCGGGACCTCAGAGCTGTGAGCGCTGAAAGCGCGAGCCCGGACCCCGCTTCCCGGACTTCCCACTTATCAAGATGATCCGCCAGCTGCACTCCTGACTGCGCGCAAGCGAGCAGGGGCTCACGGTCGGATCCCTCGCTCCCATTTTACAGACAGATACACCGAGACTCAAAAGAGAGCCAGTGAGATGGCGAAATCACGCGTGATTGGAATCCAGCCTTGCGACGTCTGTGGGTGTTACGGGCTGTGGGCGGCAGTTGAGAGCGTGGCTCCCATTTTTAGCGTTGCCACTTACTAGCTGTGTGACCTTAGACAAGTTACCTAACCTCTCTGACCCTCAGCTTTCTTACCTGTAAAATTGAATAATAAAGCCAGGCGTGGTGGCACGCGACTGTAGTTCCAGCTAGTCGGGAGACTGAGGTGGGAGGATCGCTTGAGCCCAGGTGTTGAGACCAGCCTGGGCAACATAGCGAGGCCACGTCTCTTAAAAAAAAAAAAAAAAAAAGGCCGGGGCAGTGGCTCACGCCTGTGGCCATCCCAGCACTTTGGGAGGCCGAGGCGGGCGGATCACCTGAGGTCCGGAGTTTGAGACCAGCCTGACCAACATGGAGAAACCCCGTCTCTACTAAAAATACAGAATTAGCCGGGCATGGTGGCACATGCCTGTAATCCCAGCTACTCGGGAGGCTGAGGCAGGAGAATCACTTGAACCCGGGAGGCAGAGATTGCAGTGAGCCGAGATTGCGCCACCTGTAATTCCAGCACTTTGATATATATTATATGTGTGCGTGTGTCTGTGTGTGTGTGTGTGTGTCTATATATATATATATAAGTCTATATATATATAACTCTGACATTCCCACCGGACCTTGAGCTTCTTACTCATCTGTTTTCCCCCAAGCTCTGCACATGTCTTACGAGGAGGCACACAACAGATGAAGGATTCTCACTCTGAGTCTTGGTGACTCCAGCTAAAACCAGTGGGGCTTGTGTGAGGAGTCAGTGACATAATACTGGGAAACGTTTGGAGAATCTGCTGTCCCAACAGGGCATTACTGTGTTTACCTGTCGCTGCCTGAGCACCACTCAGAGTCTCTGTGTTCTTTATCAGCTCATGTTTTAAGTTCCTCTTTTATCTGCAAAGTGATGATGTTCACAGGAATTCCATCTGAGACAAACTGTCCCACCTTAAGTCTGCCTTTACAGCAACTCAGCACTCTGGTTTGGTAGCTCTTACAATATTGCATTTTCACGTGGGACTGCTAAAAAAGTCCCTTACAGCTCCGTGGAACTGTGAAAGCCAAAAGAGAAACAAAGATTTTGAAAATGGGCTTTACCAGTAGGAAACCCTGGTCATTGAAACTTGGTGACATCTACTATCAGAAAAGACGCAGAGTCTCCGAAGAGAGTCACGTTTCTCTTTTTTTTTTTTTTTTTTTTTTTTTTTTTTGAGACGGTGTCTCACTCCATCACCAGGCTGGAGTGCAGTGCCACGATCTTGGCTCACTGCAACCTCCGCCTCGAGGGTTCAAACGATTCTCCTACTTCAGCCTCCCGAATAGCTGGGACTACAGGTGCATGCCACCATGCTCAGTTAATTTTTGTATTTTTAGTAAAGACAGGGAGGGTTTCACCGTGATGGGCAAGGTGGTCCTGATCTCTTGACCTCATGATCTGCTGGCCTCAGCCTCCCAAAGTGCTGGGATTACAGGCCTGAGCCAATGCACCTGGCCACGTTTCTCATCTTTTTTTTTTTTTTTTTGAGACGGAGTTTCGCTCTTGTTACCCAGGCTGGAGTGCAATGGCGCGATCTCGGCTCACCGCAACCTCCGCCTCCTGGGCTCAGGCAATTCTCCTGTCTCAGCCTCCTAAGTAGCTGGGATTACAGGCACGCGCCACCACGCCCAGCTAGTTTTTTGTATTTTTAGTAGAGACGGGGTTTCACTATGTTGACCAGGATGGTCTCGATCTCTCGACCTCGTGATCCACCCGCCTCGGCCTCCCAAAGTGCTGGGATTACAGGCTTGAGCCACTGCGCCCGGCCGTTTCTCATCTTTTAAACACAGTTGAAGGCCTGTGATTTCTCTACTTGGTGATGTAGAAATGACAGGAGCATCCTTTCCCGATTTTATTATATAATGATTAGCATATTATATAAGGGTCATGTGACAATGATTAGGCACCTCTACTTCCAAAAAGCCAACAACACGAGCAATCTACCTACCTCTTTCTATTTTTTAGTTTTTTTCCCATCACCAAAGTAACACATGATTCCAACAGAGGTGTATCAAAAGAGAAAAGCTACCCCGTGACCCAGCAATTGGATTTCTCACAGTCTACCAGAGAGAAATACACACGTACACAAGGAGACCTGTTGCATCATTGTTTCTCATGCAAAAGCAATGATGAGAAATCTTTTAAATGTCCATCGCTGGGGTAATGGTATATCCAAACTAGCAAATGCTGTGGATCACTTTAAAAGGGTGATGCTAGCCTACATAACTCTGCAAGACACACCGTGGAATAAAAACAGAGAGACATAATGTGAGATGTAAAAACCAGACATCAACCATACTATGTATTTTCTAAGGGTGTATATATATGTGTGTGTCTGTGTGTATATATATATACACACCCTTAGGAAAATGTATATATATACACCTTTGACTTTATATATATATATATATATATACTTTATATATATTAAATATTAAATATATATTTAATATAATATATATTTAATTTATATATATCTAATATTTAAATATATATTAAATATTTAATATATATCTAAAGTCTATATATATAAAGTATATATATAAAGTCAAGGGTGTATATATTTTCAATATATATAAAAAAGGTGTCTCTCTCTATATATGTACATAAACATATATAAAGTCAAGTAGAGCAAGGTGCAGTGGCTCACACCTGTAATCCTAGCACTTTGGGGGGCTGAGGTGGGCAGATCACCTCAGGTGGGGGGTTTAAGACCAGCCTGGCCAACATAGTGAAACCCCGTCTCTACTAAAAATGCAAAAATTAGTAAGGCGTGGTGGCATGCCCCTGTAATTCCAGCTACTCTGGATGCCTACTGTGAGCCAGGTACTCTGTTAGATTACATTACTACTAGTTTCTGCTCCTACTCAGTACAAGGCTACAGTACTCTAGTACCCAGCATTTGCCCACACTATGTGCTTGCAGGTAGCTGAGTTTGTTGTTACCGTTTTAGACTGGATCCTCGCTTCCTGGATTCAAACAATTCTCCCACCTCTGCCTCCTCAGTAGCTGGGATTGCAGGCACGCACCATCAAAGGCCAGCTAACTTTTGTGGTTTTAGTAGAGACGGAGTTTCACTATATTGGTCACACTGGTCTCGAACTCCTGACCTCAGGTGATCCACCCGCCTCAGCCTCCCAAAGTGCTGGGACTACAGGCATGAGCCACTGCACCTGGCTGCAGGTAGCTGAGTTTTTGACTTCAGGTCCTTGCCTTTGATTGCTCCCTTTACTCCAGCTGGAAGGAAAGCTGGACATCCTTGCCTGTCCAAGTCACTCAAAGCCCAGCTCAAATGCTACCTCCTCCTGCAGGCTATCCTTAATTTACCCTGTCAGAGGTCGCCGCTCCAAGCTCTGAACTCTATACCCCTCTCATATCATTCACCACCTTCTATCATGTAATCCCAGCACTTTGAGAGGCTGAGGTGGGTGGATCGCCTGAAGTCAGTAGTTCGAGACCAGCCTGACCAACATGGTGAAACCTCAGCTCTACTAAAATACAAAAATTAGCCAGGCATGGTGGCAGGCGCCTGCAATCCCAGCTACTTGGGTGCCTGAGGCAGGAGAATGGCTTGAACCCAAGAGGTGGAGGTTGCAGTGAGCTGAGATTGTGCCATTACACTCCAGCCTGGGCAACAAGAGCAAAACTCCATCTCAAAAAAAAACCAAAAAACAAAAAATAAAGTCAACTAGAGAGAGATACAGATATCTGTCTTTCTTTTTTTTTTTTTTTTTTTTTGAGACGGAGTTTCGCTCTTGTTACCCAGGCTGGAGTGCAATGGCGCAACCTCCGCCTCCTGGGCTCAGGCAATTCTCCTGCCTCAGCCTCCTGAGTAGCTGGGATTACAGGCCGTGCCACCATGCCCAGCTAATTTTTTGTATCTTTAGTAGAGACGGGGTTTCACCATGTTGACCAGGATGGTCTCGATCTCTCGACCTTGTGATCCACCCGCCTCAGCCTCCCAAAGTGCTGGGATTACAGGCTTGAGCCACCGCGCCCGGCTAGATATCTGTCTTTCATTCCACAACTACACATTTATGTGATCTTTATTAATATCTTTCTCCCCCAGAAGTCAGTGAACTCCATGAGGACAAAGCTATGTCTGTTTTGTTCACAGTTATCTCACTACTACCTGGCATGTATGCACCACCTAGTGCACAATAGGGTGTTCAACATAATTTGTTTCTGATCAGAATTTTCACTGAATGCCTACCATGTGCCAAGTTTGATGTCAGATTTTTAAAAATTGAGTCAGGGTCTCACTCTGTCACCCTGTCTGGAGTGTAGTGGCATAATCATAGCTCACTGCAGCCTCAACCTCCTAGGCTCAAGTGATCCTCCCACCTTAGCCTCCTGAGTGGCGGGGACTACAGGTGCACACCACCACATCCAACTGATTTTGTTAACTGTTTTATAGAGATAGGGTCTTGCAGTTTTGCCAAGGCTGGTCTTGAACTCCTGGGCTTAAGTGATCCTCCTACCTTGGCTTTCCGAGGTGCTGGGATGATAGGCATGAGTCACCACACCCAGCCTGATGTTAGGTTTAAGGGGTATAACTGGAGTCGGAGGGCAGCTAGCAGCCCAGGGAAAAGAAAGAATTTTAAAAATACATAAATAAAGGGCATAACTGTGAGACAGCTACAGTTCCTGCCCTCAGAGAGCATCCAGTCTCCTTATCAGAAAGAGAATATCCCTAACATACGAGTAAGATGAATACAACCCGAGAATTCAGGATAGAAGCCACCAAACCTGGCAAATTTTTTTTTTTTTTTTTTTTTTTTTTTTTTTTTTTTTTTGTCTTTTTAGTAGAGATGGGGATTTCACTTTGTTGGCCAGAATGGTCTCGGTCTCGTGACATCATGATTCCCAGCCTTGGCCTCCCAAAGTGCTGGTAATACAGGTGTGAGCCACTGCACCCCAGCTGTGTTTCAG